TTGATGTAACTTCTCTTGTTAAATTGGTTAAAACAAAATGTGAAGAAGATGGTGAACATATAGTGACTGCAAGAAACACTGCAATTCAAATGGTTGTTGAAAAGGAAAAATTACGATGTGACAAAGAGCTTGCAACAAACACACTAAGAAAAGCACAAATTAAAAATGAATTTAACATTAAAGCCTCTGAACTCACACAAAAGATGAAAAATTCCATCTTCCCAAATTTCAAGACAACGCACATTTTATTTGAAGAAAGTCCGAGTGAAACTGTTGACGATGAACAAAACAAACTTTTTGAAAAATTGGACCAAAAATGTGATTCAACACAAAGTGTCACACAAAGTGTAACACAAAATGCTACACACGTGAAAATTGAAACTTTGACTCCTTCAAAAGTGAACACTTTTCAATCCTTCAAAATGTCCCAAATGTGCAATAATTTAACACTTTTAAAATGTTCCAATGACGACGAAAGAACTCCATTTAAAAATGGTCCAAAACTGTTTCCAGAAGATTCTGCGACAGAACCCGAAGAATCCAATTTTAGAAATTTGAACGATTTCAACGACGACCAAAATGTAAAATTTGAAAAAAGCAAAATTGAGACAAACACAAATTCCAATAAAAATTCAAAGTCATGCGACGACGAAAAAGACGAAAATAAAAAACAACAAGAAAAAATTGAAAAAGTTGAGGATGACAACGGTGAAATTAATTTGAATAATTTAAACACCGTAAGTGGCTCGGAAAATTTTGTGACAAATCCGTTTCCTACAACCAAATATGAAAAACATCGCAAAACTCGATCGTATCGAAAATCGCGAAGCGACAAATCCGAGAGAGTCGAAATCAATTTTGAGACGAATAAAGTTGACAAAGTCGAAAATTTGAACACTTCCAAAATCACCGAATTTTTGAGTGCGGAAGACAAAGCACAACTCATGGAGTGGTCTGGAAGAACAGTCGGGAAGGCTGTGTTCAATTCATTGACAGATGTCTCACAACGATGTAGTAGTAGATACTCCGAATGTATGTCAAACCGTAATGGTTTTGTTTTGGTTATCTCAACAAAGGGTTTTGATACTATTTTTGGGTGTGTAGTGACGAAGAAAGCAAAAGTGAGTGGAGACTATATACACGACGATAACTGTTTTATTTTCTCATTAAAACAAAACGGTCAAATAATTAATCGCCATTTTTTGATTAAAAAGGAGAAACAAGACTTTGCTTTTTTAGCTGGGGCGGAGAGAAGTTCAAAACGATTTGAAATAGGAGAAGGGGATATCAAGGTGTGGAAGAATGTCGATGAAAAAATGATGTGTAGATGTATACCCAATTCATTTGGATGTAGCGAAGAAAGTACCTGTGTATGGGGGAAAAAAGCTGGAGAGGCTTTTGAAATATACAATTTTGTTGTGTTCGAGTTAAATAAATAAATAATTGATTTCATTGTTATTATTTTAATCAATTTAACATGTTTATAAACAATGCGTACTACAATTTGTGAAAACAAAATGTGAATTCAATATTTTAAAGTAACACTTTTTAATTTTATTTTTTTAATTAATTAAAAAGTTGTTATTTGTTATTTTCGACACAAATATGTAAAAAATAAAACACAATTGCATTATTATAATTAAAATGAATGCAACATAATTATTTGTGAATGTATTTACTTAATAATTAAAAAATAATTCGATAATATTTACTTAAAATATCTTAATGATATTTATTGTAATATATTAATAATATTACCTAAGATATCTAATTGTTAAAATAAAATGATGTGTGATTAATAAGAAAATAAATTGTGTTTTTGTAATTCAAAATTAACACAAATTTAATTAAAAAAATAATTTTAATTGTACATTGTATCAACAACACAATTATCTGGTATTTGAAGACAAGATAAAATTCTTTCCTTTGGCATTTTAAGTCGAACCAGACTGGAACATTTTAAAAACACTCCTTTTCCAACAAAATTTAATTTCTTTGAAAATCTGAGTTCATTCAGTGTGTTGCAATTCATGAAAGCAAATTCCCCAACACATACAACTGATTTGGGAACGCCGATAGTAGCAAGACTTCTACATGAGAAAAATGCACATCTTCCTATTTCTGTGACAAAATCTGGTATTTCAATAGTCTCAAGTGAAGAACACAACCCAAAACAAGAAGAAGGTATGACTTGTAAATACAAAGGCAATTTCACTATTTTCAAATTTACACAATTATAACACAAAAATTCTCCAAGAGACGTCACTGAGTTTGGGAGAGTCAACGTCTGCAAATTTGATAAACCCTCAAAAGCCTGTTGACCAACAAATTTGAGTGAATCGTGAAATTTCATATCAACAATTTTTGTTTCTTCAATTAAAGCATTTTGTCCAATACCACTGACACTTTTTGGGAGTTTAAAGTGTTTGATGTAGTAATGCTCTAAACTGGTTGGGTGAGTCTTTTTATACATCTCCATATCTCTATTTGAAAAGACGGCATTTTTATATACAACTTTCTGATATGGAAGGTCGACAAGAGTTTCTTTGTATGTATATGAAATGTAGTCCACTATATAAGCAACTTTTGGTAACTTAAGATCCTCTTTGTTGTACATATATTGTGTTTCTATTTTTGGAAAGAGTCTCTTTGTTTTACTAGTAATAGGTATTGGGTTAAAGTGAAACTTTAAGAGACTATCTTGAAACTTTTTGCATACAGATATGACGTTGAGATAGTCTTCCATCGTTTTGAAGTATTTCATTACTATTAGAATTGAGTAAGAATCTAATTGAATCATTTTATTGTGTGTTAATTGTAAGTTCGAATAATTCTATTTATATATCCATTTTCCCGGTTCTATAATTAATTTTATTTCCATTATTTTATTATGATAAATTATCTTTTTTTTTCAAAATTATTATTATAAATATTATATTTTTTTATTTACTATTTACTATTTATTGATTATTGTAAATTATTTTCCCCGTTTAATTAGGATTTTTTATATTATTTTTTCATAAAATAAATCTAAAAATAAATTAGGGTGCAAGGCTAATTATAATATATAATTGGATATAATAAGCTAACCTACAATATTGAATTACTTTAAAAACCCAATTTATTATAAAAAAATTATCATTTTTTTAATTTAATATAATAAAAACTTAAATACAATTTTTTCGTTTTTGTTTGAATAACTATCTTAAAAAACTTTTAATTAACTATTAAAATAATAATAAACTATACAAAACTATTAATTATTATTTTTTATTTATTATTATATTATTCGAAATTATAATTAAATCTATAACTTTGAAACCCCAAAGTAATACAATTTTTTGTCTTTTTTGACTGATCAGTTAAGATTCAAAATAATGACACATGATAAACTCAACCATGAATTATAATTTCATTAACTACACAAAGTAGGAACACCAATAATCATAAAACCTCTTAATATTATTATTCTTTTATAATAATTAAACACAATTATTACTATTATAATATTATAATAGTATTATTACGAACAAACTAATACATATTATACTATATTATACTAAATAGTATTCGAGTGTAAGAATCAAATTAATTCACCAAAATAACTCGAAAAGTCACAATGGGAGTGCCGAGTTTTTTTGCATGGGTCTGTTCGATGTGTAAAGACTACACCAAATATCTTCCGAAGAACATTCAAGAAGACGACTTGCGCGAGCAAAACCACTGTGGCCGAGATTTCGACACCTTTTTCATTGACTTTAATGGGATAGTCCACAACTGTTCCCATCCGGCTCACGACGTCGCACCTGTTTCTGAGGCCGAGTTATTTGATCGTATCTTTGCTCAACTTGATCATTACATTAATTACGTTCGTCCCCGGAAATTAGTGTATATAGCAGTAGATGGGGTTTGTCCCTTTGCGAAGATAGTCCAACAGCGGAAGCGTCGCTACATTAGTGCGCGCGGGAACTCGGGGACTTCTTTTGACTCGAATTGTATCACCCCGGGGACTCCCTTTATGGAGCGCCTTTCCGTTGCTTTACACGCGTACGTTACGAATCGAATGGACACTAATCTCTACTGGAGTTCACTGTCAGTCATTTTAAGTAACCCTAATGTCCCTGGAGAAGGCGAACATAAGATCTTCGACTTCCTTCGCAAAGAGTCGAAGAACACGGACTTTGCCAATTTGAAGCATTGCGTCTATGGGATGGACGCAGACTTAATAATGTTAACATTAGCTTCTAACCTCCCCTTTGTCTACATTATAAGAGAAGAAATGGAATTCACTAAACCTAATATAATCTGCGATGTATGCCATCTTAACCATCGTACTAATCAACACGGGAAACCAGTCAATTTGATCTTATGCGACCCAAATGTGTTAAGTACTTGGCTTATTACTGAATGCGCGAAGACGTGCGAGATGAAGATGGAAGACATCAGTCGCGTTGAATTGATCAACGACTTTGTGTTAATCACATTTTTGGTCGGGAACGACTTCTTACCTAAAATCCCGTCTTTAAAAGTCCAGAGCGGCGGGATGGAAATCATTCTGAAATACTATTGGCCGCTTTTTAAAGAGGGCAAACGACTGACAAATGGCATTAACATCAATTTACATTTATTAAAAGAAATGTTCGCCAAAATCACTACAGAAGAGAGTGAGTTGTTAAAGATGGTTGTGCGCACTACAAAGAAGTCACAAGAGGTCAAACAATATGATGCGGGACTTTACTTCGACTCTGCAGATACTATTATGATCCATACACAAGGCTATCATACTCGATATTATGACACACACTTTGGTAAGGCAAACAACACAGAAAACTTTTATAAACAAATAGTTGGGGAATATATAGAAGGCCTCTTTTGGGTCTTTCAGTACTACACTGTAGGTGTTCCATCATGGAGATGGTTCTATCCAGAACACTACGCCCCCTTTGCAGAAGACATCTATAAATACATCGACTTGAATCAAGAAGGTCTCTTCGAGCCAGATGAACCAATTCTGCCAATGGAACAATTGATCTCCGTCTTACCACCACAATCATTTAATAACATCCCAAGCACTTTGGCGTCACTCGTCGTGTCAAAGCAATCGCCAATTTTAAACTACTTTAACACTACATTTCGCACTGATATCAATGGTGAAGCGAAATTATTCAAAGGAGTTCCTCAACTCGATTTTATAGATCTTTCGAAGATTGAGGAATTGGTGGCGGAGAGGATGGCCGAGCTCAAAGGAAGAGAAATGAGGAGGAATTCACGATATGGAGAGAACTTGTTGTACTTCACAACAGAAGGAGAGTACTCGGAGATCATGCCACTCTTCTTGGATATTCAAGTAAAGAACTTCGAAACTATTCAAAAGGTCAATGAGAAGATCGAGAGCAACCCAGAAACTATTTTGAATGAAAAGGAAATCGGATGTTTGGAACTCACAACAAACCAAAGAAAGATTTTACTCGGAAAGTTATTGCCAGTCGTCGACACACAATTCTTCGTCTCCCCAAAATTGGAGTACTTGTTACCTGAAAGAGGTTTTCTTAAGAAAATGATGGATAAACACGTCGTTAACGCTTATTTCAGATTACTTGACTAATTGAAAATTAATTAATTATTTTAATTATTTTAATTATTTAATACTTTATTAAAGAGTGTTAACGTGATAGGGCGTATCCACACGGAAATGGTGAATCCCTGCGGATTGGAATATTTTGTGTGGATAGCCTCTTATTTTTTTGTCGAAAAAATTCAAATATCCGTTTTAAACCATATGTTATGATTTTTAAAATTAATAATTGTTACTTATAATCATTTATGGGACAAAAATGATACACAAACATGAATACCCCCATAAGGAGTATTTCCAATATTTGCAATAATTTCATAGTAAGAAAAAACGCTATTTTCAGCCTTTTTTGAAGTGGTAAAATAAGAATAGATCAAAATGAACAAATAAAATAACTAACAAAATTTTAATGTATTATCCCGTTTATTTGATACATGTAACACTATTTTTTCGATTTTTTTTAATTGAAAAAACATTTCAAAAGTGATTTATGTGATTATTATTTGGGGAAATTCCCGTTTTTTGCATTAAAAATATTTAATTTAAATATCAATTAACAATTATATTATTTTTTCGTTAATCGTGGCTCAAAAATGCATTATTATCACTTTTTACTAATAGTATTGTAATTTATATAAACACTCCATTAGTTTATTATTTTAATAGTAATATTTGGGAATTGAAATTTGTTAAATAAAGTTCTTTTAGTTGGCTCAAATTATACGCATAAAGACGGGTTTTACATCCTAAATTATATTCAGGTTTTGTTGAAAATGTTAAAGACAAAGGTTTTATGTCTAAACTAAACTATTAATTAATAACAATAAATTATATTACAATAGTACATTATTTATTAACATAAAAATGACAGAATAATCACAAAACAAATTCTATTAACATAGTTAAATAAAATTTAATTTTTACTATAAAAAAGTTAAAAAGTTAAATGGCAAATTACCACATTGTAACAATAAGTTATTATTTATGTTATTAAAAAATCATAACAATACAAGTTAATTATAACAATAACATACGACAAATACCAACAAAAACCATCAAAAAATACAAGGTATGTTACTCATTACATTTAACACATAATAATAAAGATTGTCTATCTATATTTACCATCCACACCTTTTCAGCCTATCCACAGTAAACTATGCCTCAGTATTTTATGACAAATTATGAAACAATTTATATAAAAATATTTCAAAAAATTATTTTCAAAATACATTATTATAATGAAATAACTTTTAACTATTATTTTATATTATTATATTTAATATAAATAAACTAATAGTGATACTATTATACTCAAAACTACAAAAATTAATAAATTGTATTAAAATATTAGTTTTGATTTTGGATTCAAACTAATAATAGTTTAAAACAAATTCTATAAACATGGTTAAATGGTATTATATTTTTACTATAAAAACTTTTAAAAAGTTAAATGGCAAAATACCGCATTTTAACCAAAAGTTTAAAATTAAATTATATAACAATAGTAAATTGCTCAAATTTATAACATATTGCTATACGGCAAATACCAACAAAAACCACTCAAAAATACAAGGCATGTTACTTATTTTAAACAACACTTTATAATAACAATTGTCTATCTATATTTACCATCCACACCTTTTCAACCTATCCACAGTAAACTACAGTCAAAGGCGTCTATTTGTCGTAATTATAATTGTCGAAGTTGCTTATTTGTCGCACAACTGACCAATCATTTTGGTGTACGACAATTAAATATTTTGTTCTCGAATCTGTAACTTTTGTTGAATTAAAAACTTCTTTTTATTCTTTTGAATAACTATAAATTAATTTATTTTTAATATAAATTAATATAATAAAAAAAATTATAGTATTAAAAAAAACAACTTTATTATTAATTTAAATTGCATTTTTAACAAATAACTTAAATTATAAAACTAAACATTTTAAATTATAAATCATTTTTTGTTCTTTTCAAAACATATCTTTACAGAGTGTGCAGTTTCTTATATCTAGTAACAACTACTTCCAAGAAAAGAGTCCAATTTACTCATTGTATCTAAAACGAAATCAACATAATCATCTTTTTGTCCATCACATACTTTCCTTGAAATTAAACAAAGGTTGGACTCTATTTGTTTGATCATTAAAGAAAAATCTTCATCATTTTGGTCATCGTTAACAAATTCATCTTTTTCATCGTTATTTAAGGGGTATACATTTTCATAGTTTACATTTATAATGGAATCAATGGTGTCTACTGCTTCATTTTGATGATAGGGTATACTGTTATAAAGTTTTATAATACTTTCATTGATTCCCATATCATCCTCTAACTCCATTCTGCTGTCTTGCTCGAACAGTCCCGTGTGCATAAAACAGTTATGAATAGTTTCAGCGCTGACTTCTTTCCAGGCTTTGGCAGAAATTATTATAGATTCAACAACACTCAGCTGTGTTTGTGCAACATTAAACTCCATTTTTGGGTTTTTTGTTTTCTGGAAATAATTCGATGATTTTTTCTGTTGTGTTTTGAGAAATCGTTTCTTCTATTTCCTGACTACAACATCCAATGGAATTTTCCAGTAAAGTCTTTTCATTTTCATCAAGGGCTTCCAGATGTTTATGAACAACAAATTTCTTTTTTTTCAATTTCACATTTTTGTTTCTTAGTTAATTTTTGTATATAATCTTTTATAAAATGTTTTCTATAATGATTTTTGAAGGAACTTATAATACCTTGGTCGTTTGGCTGAAGTTTACTTGTCGTTCCAGCTGGAAGACGCACGATTTCGATGTTGGTTGGAATGTATTCATCTTTGTGTGTAGCAGCATTATCAATAATAAGTGCGATATATCTACCAGAATTCTTTAATTCACAATCCCACGTTTCTAAAAATGTATTCCATATTTTTACAGACATCCAACTGGAACTCTCCTGTGAATAAACAACACCCAATTCATTAAAAAGTGTTTGTGACCCACCTCTTGGACATTTTGCTCGATGTATTATAATTGGTTTCCTTTTGTCGCTTCCATCACAATTACAAGTAAATAAAAGCGTTATACGCTCCTTTTTCATTTCTACATTTTTTAAAGATTTTTTATTTGTAAGACATTTTCTTGGTAATTGTCTATAAAAAAGCCCCGTTTCATCAGAGTTGTATACATCTGAGAAAGAATATTTTTTCAAACGTTTTTTGATATCTTTGATTTCTTCTTCATAGAACGCAAGATCAACAAGTTCCTCTTTCCCGACTCCCACTTTATATTTGACCCAATCTTAGTTTTAAACCTTTTTACGAATCCTGGAATATCAATAATCGTTTTTCTTTTATCGTTTTCATTTTGAAGGATATCATTGACCTTTTCTTGTAATACATTGTCGTCCAAGAAAGAACCGGAATTTATGGCTTTCATTGTGTACTCTTTTAATTCTTCAAAAACTCTTTCGTTTTTAACCTTTCTAAAATGTTTGAAGCTCTTAATTTCTCTTCTCCTGTAAAATTCCAATTGTTTTGCATTGAAATTGTATTCTGGAAATTTTGAATTAAATTCAAATGTGATTTCTTTCCAAAAATTTTTAATTTTTGTGGTTTTGTACTTCTTGTATAATTCCTTTATTAATGTGTGTGCTTCGGGTGTGATGCTTTTGTAGCTTTTTCGTGATGGGCATTTCAGCGTTTTGAAACTCATTGTGTATTTTTTAATTCTTACTAATTTATTTTATATTATTTAATTCATAATAAATTTATTTACTATTGTAAATATTAATAATTGTTTTCTTAATTTTAAACCAATAAATTAAAAAAACCCTTTAGAATTTTCTCCACAATTCTCTCATTTACGACAAATAGATATTTTTTTCTGCTGGATTTACGACAAATAGACACCTTTGACTGTATGCCATAGTATTTTATGACAAATTATATGTTATTTTATAAATTATTCAATTTCAATAATTTTATTGATTAAATATAGTTTATACAATTAGTTAAATAAACTAAAGTTAATTAATTAAAAACTTTAGTCTTAAAATTTTTAACAAAATTGTTTTTTTTTGCGGCAAATTCGTTTAAATGGTAAAAGTAAAAGATGACTTTTACTAAAAATAAAATTTGTTTTTTCTGTTTTAACTTTCAAAAAATTCGCTTTTTTATGAATTCGGTCCAAAAAACGTATTTTTTTGTAAACTATTAGGCAAATTTTATATCAATTACAACAAAAACGTGTAAGATTTTCAAAGCCATCCACATAAAAGTGGTCTATCACGTTAACACTCTTAATATAATTATTAATTAATTTAATTATAATTATTTATTAATTTAATTAAAAAGTGAGTCACACTCTTTTTTCTCATTTTTTAAAAATTATAAAATCGTTTGGTTCAATAATTCAGTGCTGAGTAACGTTGACGTTTTTTTATAAAATCAAGATGAACTCTTTTTTCTTTTTAAAAACAAATAATCATAAATTAACGAGTGAAAAATTGTTAAAAAACAAATAATTAATGTGTAAATTTTTAGTCTAACAACCACAAAAGTCGTATAAATAATATTGACATTAGAGTTTTAATTAACGAGGTATTTTTAAAAAAATAACTCGTTAATAAAATAAGATTGTGAAGGCGACCTTCGAGATTGTCACGACCCAAGTAATCCCAAGATCTTTTGGGTCGAATTAATTATTTTTTTTTGTAAATCGGCATTTTACTTTCCTCTTTACCAAATAACAAAAAAATATTTTTTAAAATTTCACAATTTTTTTTCTGAATTTACACATTGTTGAATTGGTTAAATAAAATCATCATTAACTTTAACAGATCGTTTTATCAATTTTCATAACAAAGTTATCTACGCAATCAAATTTTCAAATAAAGTCGACCAGAAAATTGTCGTACACCAGAAAATACTCGTACACTTCCAAAAATAGAATTTATTTTTTTAAAAAAATAAGTTTACTCAAAGAAATTTCATTTTTCACTTTGATTTTATAAACTGATTCTTTTTTGATCTTTTTTCTTCCAAATGATGCTTTAAATCATTTTTGATGTATTTTTTGTTTTTTTACGAAATAAAATTCTTTGAAAATTTATATGTTGTTAAGATTATCATTTTTTATAAATTGTTTTTTTGTTATTATGTAAATATTGTTATTGGCAAGTATAGTTCGGTATAGTTTGAATAGTTTACAACAATGACTAATATTTTTCAAATGTGTTTTTTAAACAAAGTTCATAAAAATAGAACACCAATGATACCACCATATCTACTCAACTCAACTTTCATATCGTAAATGAACAACGGTGACTCATCGATTAACAAGTTTTTAGCATTACTAATGTGGCACTCATTATTTTAATTACATAATCGAAATTTTGAAGAGTGAACTCGTTATTTTTTTCAAAGTTCGTTTTTTGATGTTTTTATCGAAAGTCAATAACATGAAAATATTTCAATATCAACACATTCAAAAAACTGTCCTGAACATTGTTTGTTCAAGGACTAAACTATAACGATAGACGTGCAAAGCTGATATGAACCGTATTTTTTATCATTTATGTTTTTTTGTAAAATTTTAAGAAAAAACAAGCACTTATCAGTGACAATAAAAACATATTTTAAAGCATAAAACCCGAAATTGTACTGTAGCTGAAGTAAAATTTTTATATCATTATTCAAGTCGTCATAAAACAAAACTTGATAAACCACAAAAAATTTAAACAACTTATAACAAAGTTAAAACCATTTCTTTATGATTATCAAATGAACATTTTCACTGTTCAAATAATCTTGCTTTTACAAAATCATGACTTTAGAACCGATGGTTAAATACGAACCATAAACACATAACAAATTAATTGATAAAATATTATAATAAGAACTGGGTTGCTTTTAAAATTGACCAACTTTTATTGTTTTTGATAACTTCAATTAAATTATAAACATGACATTAACTCAATAAATGAGAACATCGAGTGCATTTTATAAGTGTTTTCTTGGCTTTTAACATTGAAAAATACACGAGAAGATATCGAAAAAAATGTCTGATCCGACCAAAAATATCAACAATATAGTAAATGAATATAGTTTTTTTTAATTATTAATAACTATATTATACATATAAATAAAACAGGTGATGTTTTTTTTGAAAACAACAATAGTAATATTTATTAAACAATTATAGTGTATAATTAATGTCTTTTTGACACTATTTAACATTTAAAAGAATAGTTTAATTGTTATATTAAAGCTATTTATTATTAACATTCAACATAACCCCATAATTATAAATTAAAATATACATTCAATTCAAAAGATAGAGAAATACATAAAATGTAATTGAAATGTTCGTGAGGTGGGTTTGGTTTAACTTGGATTGTTTTCATAATGTAATAATTATAATTAATGATTTCTATAATGACAAGATTGTTAAAATTTGTAATAAATTGTGGTTATCTAAATTCTATGTAAATAATACTCTTAATAATAACATATTAAAATCATTAATTTACATGTTAATAAATAAAAAATATACTAGTCTAGTTCGAATATATATACAATAATTTTATATACTATTAAATATAATACAACATTTTTTAATTAACATTATTATTTCAAATTGTTTTATAATAATGTATTAAAAATAGTACATTTATTGAATATAGTACATTTATCGTTTTTTCGTTAATTAAACCACCTATATTTTGGAATAAACAAATGATTTGTAATTTAATAGTTTATGAATGGTTAATAAATGGTTTATCAAATGTTTTATTCTCTAAACAATTTGAATCTTTTTATACATTTCAATAAAAGTTCAATGTTTTTGATTTGAAATCAGCTTCGAATTGTTTCTTATATCGAGAAAAGTACAAAGAAATTTTTATTAACTTTTCTTTAAAAAAATGTAATTTATGTACACAAATCTATTTTAGGAAGTGTAGGAGTATTTTCTGGTCGACTTTAAACAAAAAAATCAAATATACAATAATGTTGATACTATAATAATTCTCAAATTAAATATTTACTTAAATAATAGTTGTTTATTACATTGATTTTATTGATTGTAAATAATAACCTTTGTGTAATGACAACGATATACATTAAAACAAAAATAAACAATTATCATCAAGTTCATTGTGTAACTAGGTCGATGTACACAATTTTCGTGAAACGACTTTTGTTGATAATAACATGTTAGAGAGTTGTTATATACAATTATTCTTTTATAACTATCGTTTTCTTGTTATTCATGTAAAAACACATAATTAAACATATATACCTTAGTAACACCACAACATTTATTATTACATATAATAGAAACATGTATTGATTATTAATTTCAATAATTTAATAACAACAGATGATATATCAGGGTTCACTGTTCATCACAACATTTTCATTTTTTTAAAATGTCAAAAATAAAACGTGATAAATTTTTAGTGTGAAAACGTGTAACATCAAACCTGAACTTAAAATCATTACATTAAAATTACTGGAATAACACAGTTTAAAACATTTTTTTACAAGTTGTTAATTATTTTACGTATGTTTTTGACTTTAAATAATTATTGTCATCCCAAGCATTTTGATGGATCTTCAAGGTCGCCTTTAAATTAAAAAACATGTTAAATACAATTTTTAAATTTAGAAATAAAGAAATGACAATCATAACTAAATTATACGAATTAATGGAGGAGATGGTAGTTATCCAAATCTCCTTCTTTTTTCCGAAGAGTCGATTCCATATCAGTTGTTGAGTAAATGAGAAAAGAAAATGAAGACACGAGAATAAGTGACCCAACGACTTTATAAATGACTCGAACACGATCCAAATACACATCATCACAGTCAGACTTCGTTAAAGATACACCACCGTTGCAATCAAGACATCCAGTGTTGGTACTGAGACACACACAACATTTAAACTTACTATAAATATATTATTATGGTATTATAATTATACTAATATACAAGTATAGTATTATTTATGGTATTTTATCAAAATATTAATGGATACCTCAATACTAATGAAAATATAGTTTTTGTTGTTATAATAATTTATTTAAAAAATTGAAGAACAAAGTAAATTATAAAAATTACAAAAGTTATAAACGTTATTATAACTATAGTAAATATATAAAAATACACTTTTTAGTATTTTTTAAATAAAATAACTATATATATGGCATTATAATTATTATTATTAATAATAGATATAAGTACTATTCTATATAGTAAATCATAGTCACAAACGTCTGTCTCGATCACATCGATTTGCTCTTTATTGAATTGGGTGAGAGAATTATCGTTATGTAAACCAAAAGTTAAAATAAGTACGCCTAAGACAAAAAACAATAAACAGTGACAACACGAACAACAACAACAGATACATGAACTACACTGGATAACTAATTTCACTGTTAACGCAAAGAGAATGATCGAAACGACTCCAATGACTATATGAAGAACAGAACAATAGAGTGCTCCTATCATCACTACATCTATCCATGTTAAAACAACTTCATAAAATTCGGTGTATTGCCAGGAATGTAAACTAAACCCCATTAAAATACCACCCCAAACTATACACAATACTAAAGTACACCATGTACTTAATGAAGAATACCATGCTGTCATGTGTATTTACTTTTCAAAGTTTCTTTTCTATGCTAATTCTTATGTAATGAATTGCTGTATTAAAATTATAATTTTTTATTAGAATAGCAGATTTCGAAGAATTTCAATTCAAAAAGATTGAGTGAATAATCTTAGCTCGATTTTTCAAATTGCCTTTTTTCAATAATTTTACTTATTTCAATAGTCATATTAGATATTATTTATTTAAGAATTGTAATAATAATGAAACTTGTGGTATTAAAAAAAAATAAAAAAATTAAAGAATTAAAGAAATTTAAATTCTTTATTATTTATTTGATCAGATTGTAAAATGGTTAATTAATAATAAATAGAATTTAAAAATAATAGTTTTGTTTTATTTATATTTTATCACAATGAATAACTTTCTTAATAGTTCTTTCTATATATATTATAATAATTTTATTATTATATCATAATCATATTTTAATTAACACATATTAATACTTATTTATAACAAATATAAATTAAAAAATTACAACCAAATAGTTTAATTATTATAGTTTATTTTATATTTCAATAATAAATTTTAGTTGTTTTCAAAAAAAAACTTATCGAGTTTTTTTTTGATTTTTTGTTAAATACAAAAATTAGTTTAAAATAATAAATAAACTATAATTATAGTAGTTTCATAAACGAATGAAAGACAAACTTCAAACATAATGATATAAATAATAGTAGTTTATAACAATTGTAAATCATTCAAAGAACTCATGAGTAACTCCCGAGCTGACATCGAAGTGAGTAAGACAATATCATATCTTCTACGTCATGGTGCCCAAAAAGAGCATCTTCCAATGGATGAGTCTGGGTGGGTGAAGATGACTGATTTACTTTCAAATCGCCAGATGTCTGGAATTTCACAAGAAACAATTTGTCGCATTGTTGCGACAAATTCCAAACAACGATTTACAATCGAAGGGGATGGGCAAGATATGAAGATCCGAGCTAATCAAGGACATTCCATTGACGTGAAAGTTGACATGAAGAAGATAGAGACCCCCGAGGACTATCCAATAGTCATTCATGGGACTTATCTCAAAAACATTTCAGAAATCCTCAAAAAAGGACTTCTAAAAATGGGACGCCTTCATGTTCATATGGCAAAAGCACTTCCTCAACACATTGGAAAACAAATGAGTGGGATGAGATCAAATTGTCAACTTGTGATTTACGTCGACATCAAAAAAGCGATGGGGGATGGTTTGGTGTTTTATGAAAGTTCAAATGGTGTTGTTTTGTGCGAAGGACCAATCGACAAAAAGTACTTCCAGAAAATTGTGAAATATCCGTCTTTGGAAAACTATCAATTTAACTAATTTTTAGTTGTTTTTCTTATATTATGTTTATAGAAAGTTGAGTTCAAATATGTCTTTAATATTAACACATAATATCGTACTTTTTAAATAACATCTATATGAAGAAATTAATCTTTCAATTATAAAATAATATGATTTATTTGTTACTAAATTATAAATAATATTAGTTTCGTAATGGTTTAAATAATTAAAGTAAATATACCAAAAATATAATATTTTCATTGTATAATCTTATTATATTTTATTTATAATAAAAAAATTACGAATGACAAATTATAGGATAAATTAATTATACATACAATTATAAATGTATTATACTTTTTAATTTATAATATACATAAAATTTATTATATCAAACTATACTACAAAGTTCAACAAACTGCATCTTTATTAAATGAAGAAAATCTTTCAAAAAAAAAATTTGTCAAACAATCATTTTTTGAATTGGTTTTATTAAAAAATGTGAAATCATAAAGTTAATTGTATAAAATGGAACTATTCATGATAATTACATTTAAATTTTTAATTTTGTTTTTAACTTGTTGAAAATGAAAAAACAATTGAAAAAGAATTATTCATTTTATCAAATCCCAATTTTTTTATTAAAAACAATTTTTATTTTATTTTTTGTTTGAATATATCTATAATAATAGTTTAATAGTTAATTAATAACAAATAAAAAAAAAACAAGAAAAAAAAAACAATTGACAAACATTAACAAACGGATAAAATAGGTGATTCCAATTCCACCACTATTGAACTTTATACATTTCAAAAAAATCGAAGAGGAGTCTTAAAGAAGAAGTGAACTACAAAATTCCACAAAATTGATGTTTGGCATTTCTACTCGCCGTCTTCATTTTTTAGTAGGGGGAGCGGTGGCTGGTGTTATATCACGAACAGTTGTAGCGCCATTAGATCGTATGCACACACTTACTGTAGCGCGTTCACAAGAGAAAACAGTAGATATGTTACATGAGATGTTAATGAATGAAGGGGTATTAGGGTTATGGCGAGGGAATTTTGTGAATTGTATGAAAGTCGCTCCGACGACTGCGGTGAAGTTTTTTGTGACAGAGACTTTGAAGCGGATGGCACAGAAATATTATTTCCAAAGCACACGAATTCCATTTGGTATCAATTTTGGGATAGGAGCTGTTGGTGCTATTTGCTCGACTTTAGTGTCACACCCAATTGATGTTATTAAGACTCGAATGAGTATCGAAACGACTAAAATTAGAAAGTACGACACTTTCATGGGGACCGCTCAGACTATTATAAAAGAAGAAGGCGTTCTTGGACTTTATAAAGGTATCAACTTCGCTATATTATCAGTCACTCCTTTCCAAGCAGTTAACCACGCGTGCTTCGAATTTGTCAGTCCTTTCGTCCCACAAAGCTCTTTGAAGAAATTGTACCAAGGTTGTCTCTCATCGTCGTTGGCTTTCTCAATTTGTTACCCCCTCGACGTCGTCAAGAGAAAATTGTTGGCTAAGAAGGCAGACTCCGTCGGAGAGGCAGTCGCTAATATCTTGAAAAATGAAGGACCAATCGGGTTTTATAGAGGTTTCGGTGTCGGGTTCTTTAAGGTCGTCCCCCTTATTTCGGTCCAATTCTTCGCCTTCGATCAATACAAAAAATTCTTCAAATTGTGAATTGAATGGTTCAAGTCTTTTTTTTATTGAATTCAAAATTGGAAAACAGTTCGGCAAATTGGAAATAACAGTTATGTACTCCACTGGTATTTATTTCGCGGTGAACGATTTTATAAAAACCAAATTGAATCGTTTTCATGTTTTGTAATTTAGTATAGTTTAATTATTATTATTTTATACTATACTTTTGAAAATATTATATTTATTATTTATACTATATATAAACTTACTAAGTATAGTTTTGTAATAATAAAGAGTTAAAAAACTATTAATTATAAGTAAAATTATTCTTAAATAATTTTTAATGCAAAACTATGAACTAATATTTTATAATTTTATATTATAAAATAAATCATTTGTTTTCAAGCCAATTGTTAAATATAATTCAATTTGGTTATTTAATACTATTATATTATTATAAAAGTAATTAGTAATTGTTTACAATTATTTTATTGGTAAACAATTTTTACATTTCATATAAATTATTATCAAATACAAAAGTTAATAATTTCAGGTCATAAAAATAATATGAATAACTAATTAAAAGTTAACATTGTTTTTAAACAACGCTAATAGAACACAAAATACAATTTTCCTTTCGACATTTATAAATTTCTCAAAGAGTTAAAAGAGGTAAGAGCAAACACACTTGTTCTTGCTTGAAAAAACATTTTTTGAACTATTTAAGACATTTTCCCGTTAACTTATGAAAATCTTAAGTAAATTCCACCAATTTGTTTTATTAATAATAAAACAGAAACTTGAAAAGTCGACCGAAAAAAGCGGAACTGCAAAAAGAAACAAATGCCACGAAGTCAGGATGATAAAAACATTGAGTTGCTGCGTTCCCTCTCTTTGACCACTGGGAATAAAAGATGTATGGACTGCCAGGCGATAGGGCCAGTTTATGTTGTGATAAATTTCGGCACTTTTGTGTGTCAGACGTGCAGTGGCATTCACAGAGAATTTGGGCATCGTGTTAAATCAATTTCAATGGCAACCTTCACACCAGAAGAAATCGCGAAGGTGAAACGTGTTGGCAACGAAAACGCAACAAGAATTTGGTTGGCTAAATGGACAACCGCTGAATTCCCAATACCAGAAAGCGGCAACGAGCGTAGAATTCGTGAATTCATGAAGTTGAAATATCAAGATAAAAGATGGTTTGATCAGAACGCTTTCGAATCTATTATGGCCGGGAAAAAGGTCGAACCCGTTTCACACCAACCAGTCATTAGAGAAGAACCAGTCGTACAACAAGCACCACAACAACAAGAGCAAAAACAACAACCCGCCTCTACAATGTTTTGGGGAAATGACGATAACGTCGGACCAATCCAAAAAACAACTCCACAACAAAGCCAACAAGCTCCAACACAACCACCTAAACAACAAGCCGGCAACGCGATGTTTGAAGTCGAGAAAAAACCACAGAAAAAGGTCGATTTTATGGCACTCTTTGATAACGCAATGAAACAACCTGCTCCAAACGCCCAACCCGTCCAACAACCACAACCATTCGATTTCTTCGGAAATGTTCAACCACAGCAGCCACAAATGGCCCCGTCGCAACAGGTCTTTGGGCAACAACCGATGTATCAACAACCACAACAACCATTGTTCTCCCAACAACCACAACAAATGTATCAACAACAGCCAATGCAACAACAGATGTTCTATCAACAAACTTCAGTGTATCAGCAGACCGTTCAACAGCCGATGTTCCAACAACAACCCGCACCACAACAAAAACAATCCCCACAACCATCTCAACAACCAAAGTATCAGAAACCTCAGCCAGATGTTTTCTCGTCTTTGGGAAGTTATCAGCCAAAAGCTAAGCCACAGGAGCAACCAGCAGCAGAACCTGCTAAGACTACAAACCCGGCAGAGAACGTTTTCGATTTTATGTGACTTTTTTAATTTGGCTGTTAAGTCTTTTTGTTCCAAGGTATTTGTATTGAAAATATTCCTCTAAAATCGGGCTTTATCAGTGCTTTCGTTCGGCATATCTCAATCTCAGTATATTTTATCTTGTCATTTTATTTTACTATATATGTTACTATTATTATAATTTTATTTACAAATAAATTATTGTTATTTTTATTTTGTCAAATAGCATTGACAAAAAAGTTGATATTTTTTATTAAATAAAATAAATGATAATTAAAAACAAACTTAAAAATATTGTAATTAAATAGTTATATTTAATTAAAAAATAATTAACAATCAAACCTTTTTTTAATTATTTAACAATAACTTGTTTTATGAAAACAATTGCCAATTCTTAAAAAAAATTGAAAAAAAATTAATAACGATTTTATACTATAAATTCTATAACTCATTTTATTAAAATAAACTAATAAAAAACTATAAATAATTAATAAATTGAATAATAAAAGGTATAAGTTCTTATTAATACTCAAGTTATCAATCACAAACACTCATTTACTCATACAAATCAATCACCAGTCAGAGACTTCCTTTGAATACACTGACGATTCAGCCGACTGTTTTTTGTTCATCGCTGCAAAGTACTTTTTCTCATATCCATTTCCTCTATCTATCCCATCCCACTTATAGTCTGGGGGTATTCCAAATCTATTTTGTGGAAATTTACCTTTAAATATGGGCCGAGTACTTTTCGTTTCGCCATTTGCATCAGATTTTTGAGATTTTTCGGGTTGGTTCTCATTTATTTTTGCACTTTCTTCTTTCTCTTTCCGTCGCTTGAACAATTTTGCCATTGGATCTCCAAATCGAGTTTTCGACCGCAAAATTTTTTGCCGCTCATCCTCTTGTGTGTCTTTGTGTGGTTTCTTTGCTTCGTCTCGTTCCGACATAACTTTTTTTGTTTATTTTTTAATTTTTAATTTAGTAATAAATTTAATAAATTTATTACTAGTTTCTGTTATTAAACAAATTAATAATTTTACTTCAAAATAAAATTTTTAATATATAGAAGAAACTTTTTTTTTAATTATTGGATAGTTTTTAGTAAAATTATAGTATATTTAAAATTTGTTATATTATAACTGTCATAAATAATAGTTAATTATAGTATTATTTTAATTAAATTAACAAAAAAACCATATGACTAGTAAAAATATAACACATTTATTTACAATGAGTGATAATTTTTTATAGTTTTATATAGTACCTTTTGTAGTAAAATATATTAATTATCTTATTATACATAAAACCAACCACATAAACAGAAAAGAAGAACTCAAGAACTTGAAAATCAGCGAATTTTGAGATGGGATATGAGGAGTACCTTCAATATGTGACTGATTTGTATAGTGAATACTCAAACAAACTGTTTGAGTATTGTCAGTGGAAGAAATCGAAACAGACTGAATACATTGATGCTAAAACAGTCATCGACGACAAGTCCATTTGTCCCACTGAAGAGACGATGTCACAAATTAGAAAAAGAGCCGTTGAATGTCCGTCTGTCTGTCAACCACCAGATACCCAAAATTAAAAAAAAATTAGTTTTTAAGTGATGTGTGTTTATCAGAAATCATTTTTTATTTTTTGTTCACATCAGATTTTAATTTGGTGTGTAATTACACAAGTTCTGGAAAGTGAATTGAACGATTTGTTGAATTAGTCGTCTTTCGTAGTATACTAGTAATATAGTTTGATGTATTATATATATATAACATTTGTTTTGTGATAAATTTTAAAAAATATAATTATTAATTAGAATATAATATATTGTATTATATATACTAATACTAATACTAATTACCTAATAAATAAATAAATTTAAAATTTTCTTTATTTACAAAATTAAAAAAAATTATTTTATTAAAAATTTTAAAATTTTTGATACGAAACTTTTAGACAAATTAATCTAAATTTGGATCTCATTTTTCGTTTGGTAAACAAAGTGTCGATAATATAAACATGTGTATACATTTCTAATTATTAAAATTAAAACACTTTATAATTTTTACATGTTACTAATAACATATTATAATTAATTTATAAAATATTTTTTTCTCCACAAAAAAACTTGATTTAATCATCACATTTAAGTTTATTTATCTATACATTTTAATTGTTATAATTATAAATATAGTTCTTTGGATGCTTCATGATAATATGATAATTGTTGACAAAAAAATAGTTGTTTTTCATTAAGTTAAATTTATGTTAAACAAATATTAATAAAAAAATAGTTTTGTAGTGATTTATTATTGATATTCTAATAATTTTGTTTTTCTCAGACACAATAATTAATTATTAATAGTTATAAATAAAAAAATTTATAAAAAGATGATTTTAGAAAATCGTTGTTAAACTAAGATAAAGATAATTGTTTTTATGATAATTATATTATCTTATTTAAAGCAACATAAATATCGTAATTATTTGATCTTATTTTTTTATTAATCTTAAAGTTATTATTTTGATAAACAAAATTTAGCTTTTTTAATTATACTGTAAAATATAAAAAATTAATAACTAATAAATATAATAAAATTTGTTTTTTATAAAAGAAAATATTAACCACAAATGTCTATATTTTTCGTTTTTGTGTTATTTCGAAAAAATTCCAAAAATTGAAGTTTACAAAATTTTCGTTTTTCTTTTCGTTTTTTTTTCGTTTCCAAGAAACTGATAATCTTTTTGAAATCTCCCCTGGATTTAATGTGTTTCGTTTTGGCACATCTATCTCTTTTATTTCTATTTCTTCAAATAGTAATATCTGACGATCATTACGCATGGTGTGATGATTATGAGAATGGAACTTTATTTTATCGAATAGATAATAAATGGGATTGTGTTTATGACATTTCCAATCCCGATTTTACGAATGTCACGTTTCGCGGTTTTTCAATCTTCAACACTCAACAATGGACACGTTTTGACGTTTATCCAGATTGTTGCAGTAAAGAGGTTAGCCGGCAAGACATGAATACCTTTACGGTTATAGATGATGTTTTACCGGTAACCAAATCCCTGTATTTCTTATATAGAGATACCGCTTTCTCAAGACCGTACCAATCAATTTTTATATATGAGTTCTTCAACACTGTCGCGTGGAATATCGACACCAAACATATCATCCCAGGGAGCACCATAAGTATGATCAGTTCCAGTACCCCTGAAGCTTCTCTCCGCCACACAGTTAACGTTTATAATTACCGCTTCAATTTGACTTCCGCGTATACTAATTCTTCGATCCTTTCCTACGCAAAGTATAATCTTTCTTTCAAGAACACGCCCATTCCCTTTGTGAATATTTCTGGCCGAACAGAAATTTATTTAAGTGACGAGGATTCCGTGGATAAATGTCAATATCGATACACGACTGATTTGACTGCACGTAGTGCACCCCCCACAAATGGCAACTTGAAAATGCACAACTTGTGCACGACCGGCAATTTCAAGCGTATGGCTCTCTGCGCAAGCACCGTAGAAGACGATTATAAGGACTGCACATGTACGTACGACCCTCAAGAATACATTTATTTGAATGAATATGCAGACTGTACTTATATGAGTGAATTGCTGACACTCACGATCACTGTCAATCAAGATGTCGTCCCCTTCGAACATTTGTGGAATACATTCTCCACAACGCCGGATATGGCAGTTCACTCCCTTATAATCCCAAAGGGGAGAAACATCACCTTTCTTGGAAAGGTCATTCTACCGGATTCTCCAATACTCATCACCGGAAGTGTTATATTCAAGAGCATCCTCGTCATCACACGAGACGATCTCTACTATGACATCGGCACTTTCTCTGTCGAGGAAATTAACATCGATAACTTGAAAAATAGAAACACTTCAATTTGCTTTGTCGGCAGATGCGGAATGGAACAGACGGCTTGTGAGAGGGTTTTTAACTCGGCAGGTATCAAGGAAAAACGTTGCGGGTCCGGGTCGAAAAATAGATATCTGCCCCTTGACAGCGAAGTCAACTGCGACTGCAGACAAAGTGACTCAGCACACTACTACCAGTCAGACTGCACTTTGATGAGTACCGACAGACTCTACAGATTCGACCTTTTTGTAGCTTTCGATTATATCGGAGGAGACGCTCCTCGATATTGGAGTTCCTTGACAGTTCTGGCTCCGATAAAAATCAGTGGCGTATCTACAATCGTCGACGGTCTCTGTAATTTTGAGAAATCTGGAAGAGTAGAACTTTATGGCGCCTTACGTTGTAAGAAGGTAGTTTTGTCGTCGAGCAGTGAGATAGTCGGATATGAAGGGTCTCAGCTGAAAAGCTATGATTTTGCATTTATAGATAAAATAACTAATAAGAATAGTAAAGCAGTGATTCATATGGGAAGTGGGTCTTTTCAATCTGACGGATCGATGACCGTCAAAGTCGATCCATCCCAAAACGAATGTTTTGAGTTTGCGAGTGCGAAGGGATTAAATAGTCACTCGATGGATGGAACTCTAATTTCCGATAAAAAATATAGTTTGGTCGTATTGGGGAATCTCGTGAGGATCTGTCCAATCACTAAAATCAATAAAGAGGTGATTTGTGATTTTAAGACGAGTGAATATAACGGTTTTGTGTTTGACCAGTGCCCGTGCGATAACGAAGGGTGCGTTTTTCGGGTCGACGCAAACGTCAAAGAACTTGATTTTTCACAATTTACGGATTTGGTCTTTGAAGGCCAATTTATTATTCAAAATAGTTTAGTAATAAGAAATACCGATCGCGTCACGTTCAAAAGTATAAAAATAGAAAACTTAACTAAAGAGCTAGTAAGTGTCGACGTCATTGGCGGAATCATCACAGAAATAGAAAGCCCCATGATTGTATCATCGACTAATAGTTCTGAATTCTATGGAAATACTATTCAATTTACTTATCGCCCAAAAGGGGCGTTTCCTGTTCTACTTTCTGGTGAACTATTTGTTATTAATATAGATACTATATATACCAATGCGATAGAACTCACCAATTTCAAAGGACTCATCACAACGCCACAAGGGATGGATATCAAGAAAAATGGGAGAGGAGAGACATCCTCTACGTTGTCTCTGCAAGCGAACGAAAGAGGCAAATACGAGAGTGTAGTAGTGAACAACAACGAGTATGAGATCTTGACGTGTACACATAACGATCAAAGCCGTTCGTGTCATGAAAAGGTAGAGATAGAGCACTGTGTGTTCTATTTAGACGATCGTTATTGTGTATCGTGTATGGAGTATTATAGATTGAATACACGATTGAATGTATGTGAGAAGATTTCAATTGCGAATTGTAAGCGTGAAGAGCAAAGTGTGTGCGTTCAATGTGCTGAGAAATATGAATTAAAGAACGGCCTGTGCCAACCTGTAAATATCGAGAATTGCGACTTCTATAAGAACAATTGGTGCAGAAAAGCACAAGGCGGGTATTACCCGGTAACTTCATCTACTAAAAAGTGTTCACCGCACACTCTTGTGTGTAATTCAGTATCGAGTCTGATATGTAGCACTGGGTACATCTTACATAACAAACTCTGTGTCCTTCCTTCCACACAAAATGCAGTTGTATCTTCAAACTACAATACTATAGTCTGTTCAAAGGGGTATTATATATTTAAGGGTGTGTGTGTTTCGTGCTTTTCTAAGTATGGGAATTGTGAATTGTGCACATTATTTTCCTGTACGCTCTGTAAAATAGGGAGTGTTTTAAATAACGGTGTATGTATTCAATCCATAGGGTGTCAAGCCATTCAAAGCAGCAATTGTCAGCAATGTCTTTCCGGATATTATAATAAGGAGTCATGTAGACCTTGTGGAGAGAATTGTGAAATATGTAGTTTCACAGGGGAGTGTCAAGTATGTTCTCCGCAGTACTACAAAAGTGGGTTCAATTGTTATACCAACATGAGTCAATTCAATACGACACATTGTACAACAGAAAAGAATGGGGAATGTTATACCTGTGACGATCACTTCTATGCAACTCACTTTGGGTGTTTCGAATGTTCATCAAATTGTTCCACATGTACTTTACAAAGTGATTTATGTACTTCATGTCCTTCATCATATATTCTCCAAGACCACATATGTCTTCCAGAAGCTTTTTATAGTGATTCTTGTCTTCGTCTTAATGCAAAGTATTGTTCATTATGTCCGACTAACTATTTCCATTCATCAGAAAACTACTGCAAACAATGCCCACTCAATTCTATCAGTTGCGCTAACACCACACACGTCTTCGAATGCTCCAGCGGGTACTTCCTCTTCCAAAATCAATGCAAGAAGATCTCGGAAATTTCTAACTGTCAGAAAACAAACGATTTCGGATGCGCTTTGTGTTACGACGGCTTCGCGTTAATTAACTCCCTTTGCGTGTCATGCAGCGATCTCTGCCAACAGTGCCATTTCTCAGATGAGCACGAAATTTGCGACTTATGCGAACTCAATTACGTCATCGACAATTTCGAGTGTTATCCGCTTTCCTCAATACAAAAATGTTCCGAAGCCGACGGTGAAAAGTGCACAAAATGTGAGACGGGATACACTCTATCTGCTGGAAGGTGTCGAAAGCTATCGCGATGGTACATCTACGTCATCGTCGCCGCGGTAGTGGTTATACTATTCATTATAGTAATTTTAACTATACTTATAGTAAAGAAAGTGATATATCAAAAAGTTCGAGTTCGACAAGAACACGTGAGGAAGATCACCGACGTGAGCAGTAGAACGGACTTAGTCTTCTGTTGTGTAGGGATTGTAACAGACAAACCGACGATTGAGTTTGATGGATTACTGCAAGTGAATAATGAGCGAAGTTCGGCATTATATCTTGGCAACGTTGGAGTGGACAAGGTGAAGGTTCAACCGACTATTATAGGAAATGGGAAGTACGACATTTTTATAACGCCAGAATTAGCGATCTTGCGGAAGAATGAGGTTTGTCAGTTTACCGTGCATTTGACGCCGAAGTGCTCGACACATATTGACGACAAAATAGTCTTCTCGCTCCATAACTTTGCGAAGAACACGTCGACGAGCTTTTCGATCTATATTGATGGGTATACCGAGAAGACGTCGATCATTGATTTTGATGAATTGACGATAGACACGAAAATAGGAGAGGGAGGGTTTGGGATAGTTTATCGGGGATACTTCCGGGAGGCAGAAGTAGCGATTAAGACGATTAAAGAAGGAGTTGATGAGATGGAGTATCGAGATGTGAATAGTCCAGATACTCCAATGAACAGTGAATTTACTAAAGAAGTAGAAATGCTTGAGAAGTTCAAATGCGAACAAATTGTCACGTTCTTTGGAGCATGTTTTCTCCCAACAAAAATGTGTTTGGTCACGGAATTTGCAAAGTTTGGGTCGCTGTCGTATTTGATTAGTAAGAAGAAGATCTTAACGAAGTATTTGCGAGTGAAACTGTGCTTAGATGCTGCGATGGGAATACTTTACTTACACGAGAATGGGATCTTACACAGAGATATTAAACCGGACAATATCTTGGTGTTCTCATTAGACACACAAGAAAAGGTCAATGCAAAGTTAACTGATTTTGGAAGCGCAAGAAATATTAATCGACTGATGACTAATATGACATTCACGAAAGGTATTGGAACTCCAGTCTATATGGCACCTGAAGTCTTGGATAGAAAAAGATATCGAACAACAGCGGATGTATACTCTTTCGGCATCGCTATGTACGAAATAATAGGGTGGAAAGCTGCATTCTCAATGAAAGACCCTCAATTCAATTTCCCGTGGAAAATAGCAGAGTACGTGATGGCGGGAAAACGGCCTAAGATCACTAAAAATATCCACGAGGAGGAGTTCTCTATTATTGATGGCGCTTGGAAGATGCAACCAGAAGAACGGCTACGAATGGCAGAGATCGTGGAAAAGATTAAGAAGAGGTTGTTAAAGATTAAGAAGGAATAAGTCATATGTTAGTTATTAGTTTATTTAATTAGACTTCATTATACTTATAATTAATAGAAAATAATATATATATTATTAATATATATTACTTAATTTAATTAATATTAAAATATTAATTAATTTACTATATTCTATATATTTAGTATAATTAATTATATATAGTAATATTCCTTTTTTTTCAAAACACCATTTTTAATTGTTGTTATTTGTAATAGTTTAATACTAGTATAAAAAATATACTAAAATTATGGTTGATTTTAATACAAAAAATGATTCTGTTTTAAAAGGACAGTTTATAATTTGACTAACTATCGTTTTATTGAAGTTTAGTTTTTTAATAATCTTTTTACTATTTTTCAAAAAAGGTAATCATTTTAAATTTCTAATAAATATTTTATTTCTCGTCACTGAGTGATGGGTTACACTCTAGTTATTTTATAATAGTATATAATTATATATACTATACTATAGTATGTTATTATAACTAAACTATCAATAATGAAATAGTTTACAAAGTCATTACTATTATTACAATTAATAAGACTAATACAGTAGTTGAATAACTCCTGGTGTTGTGATACTTAAGAGGAACACATCTGGCTGCTTTGTTACAAACATATCCACCCGAACACACCCCACATAAGGGTACACACCCATCTACATATGTCCTCAAATTATTATCTTCTGAGTCTATTGTCGAATTACGAGCATCACATTCATCTTCTAGTGTACACATGTAATCATTTAAAGTGCATTTAGTGTAATTGAGATCGTTCACATCTGTGAATGTAAGCGACTTTATATACATCGTTGTGTTTTTCCCTGTCTTGTAGTGCATCATCAACAAATTTGCTACTAATTAATATTCATTTAAATGACAGATAGATGTAAAACTATATCTTATGCTAATTTAATAAGATATTTCGTTATATTTACTTGACTAAAATAGTTCATTTGATTTATTAATATAATATGTCGCATGTGGAGTATAAGTATTAAATAATATAATTTAATTATTATTTAATAATATTATTATTATTTGATAATACAATTTATAATAATTTATAATAATTTATAGTAATTTATAGTAATTTATAATATTATTTAATATACTAATAGTATATATATAACAAACTTGCTGCGTTACACCTTGCTATATTAAAAGCCGCAGTGTTTTCGATGTGAATTAAACCGTCTTGTATACTTGCTGTTCGATTCATAACGAATTCCCGTGAGCAATTGACTCTTTTCAATTGTGTGACATCTCCAAAATGTGTGTAAAACTCGAAAGTCGGGAGTTCCAAAAACACAATATTGACACTGAGACTTGCAAAGAAAGTTTTATAGTGTTTGGACAACTTAATAGGGAATGGGAAGTTGACTGAGATGTACAATTCACTTTCAAAATTGATGACACTACCATTCACTTGATACGATTTTGATAAGTCCTTTTTATCATGAACTCTTAAAGACCATACCATATATGGGTCTTCATATTTTTCATTTGGTGTAAATCCCGGATTAGGTCGTAAGTAGCATTTTGTGTCTAAAAAGTGATTAGTTGTGAGTGAGTTAGATACGAAATCGGTGTTTTCTATGAACTTAAAAGGGATATTAGTATGTCCCCAAAAGAGGTCATATATTTTTAAATAAAGATGTTTTTTAATAACACTACTATTACTATTACTTTGTAGAGATGATAAAGGAATAGTATATTCCATAGTATCTTCATTAATATGAAAGACTTGATTGTTATATATTATTTTAGAAACTATTTGATTAGTATTATAAAGAGCTATTTTGGCGTATTGTGTTGTACTTTTTTTAATATTGTTTTGTGCACTTTCTATTAAGCACTTTTTCACGCAAATTTCTGTGTCTTCATTATATGAATTTTCATTAAAAGTGTATTTTGAAGTGTTTTCTTTGATTCTTTCATGATGAATAAAAGTGTTATTAAAATGTTGGAAACGTTTTTGAATTTCTTTGTTTGGAATTTTTTTAAAAACTTTTGTAAAAATTTTTTCTTTATTTTTGATGTGACACTTTTGTGTACAAAATTTTTTGTTTTCCATAGAAAAAGCATTTTCTGTGTTTTTCTGTTTTTCTTCAACGATTTGAGTTATAATGGCCGTTGGAAATGTTTTATATGGACAATCAACAAATCGAGCGACTATAGGAAGAGCGGACCCTATATTACCTTCTTCAGTGTATCCACTATAAAAATGGAACAATTGGTCATTAACAAAAATTGTTCTTTCTGATGAATGGATAAGAGCATTAGAGTTATTATCTTCTTTTGAAAAATTCATTTTAAAAGAACCCACAACAGTGCATGACGCAGTCTTCAGCGAAGGTCCAGTAATTTCAATACAAGACCCACATCGTGAAATGTGTTCGCCTTGAAAGATTTGATAGAAATGAGCGTGTGGAATATAACATTCAGTGTGCGTCGACATCGATATCAACCGACTTGTGTTGTCTGGTACACTTTTGTAACAACTGCTATAAATATATGAGAGGGTACCAGCCGGACCAGACAGGCCAATATATTTGAGACTCTCAGCACGAAGGTCTGGCTGTTATGTGAGTCTTTGTTGCGATTATTAAAAAGGTACTTTTTTATAGTTTATTATACTAATATTTATAATTCATTCATTAAAGTTGATAAGAGATATTTACTATATATGTATAATAATTAAATTATTAAAATGTAATAAAATATATATTGAATATGAATATTAACAATTTCATAAGTAAAACAGTGATTGTCTATTGATATATCTTGTGTTGATAAACTATTTTTTATAGTATTTATACTATATTTAAAGAATTGTAATTAAACTTATTGTATATATCTATTATCTTTTAGTTTTATTATCTTAATTAAATATAATAATTATTAATAAAATCAATTCTTAATGGAACAAACAAGACATGGACTATCTACTGTAACAGTTTTAGTAATCCGCGAAGTGGAAGGTAATATGTAGAGAGTTATTAAGACGATCAATAGATTACACATCAATTTGGGTTTCGAGTTTTTTGTATGCTTTTTTATAAACAAAATTCTCACTTTTGTTAGACAAGAAGTGTTTCGATTTTTCTTTGTTGTGTACTGAGTTACTCTTAAGATTTATTTATCGGCTATTTAGTATTTGATTTTCTTTCTACAAAAGTATATTCACATCCGATATAATTGTACTTGACTTTATCCGTTTGATTGTTTCTTTTTGGTTCTTCTTTCTTATTTTTGATTGAGTGATACAAATCACAATCTTTTGGATTTGAAGAAGTGTACCAGAATTTATGATTTATTTACTAGTCATTACTAATAAAGTGTATATTACGAAGGTGTTTGTTAAAAAAAATTATACATCGCTTTTTTTTGTTTTTTTAACATAACTATTAGAATGTATTAATTATTATCTTATAATATATGATTATATTTTTATTGTATACTTAGTTGGATTTTTTAAATAAATTTTTTAGAAAAAATTATTCCGCATTAATTATATAAACAAGTTTTTTATTATAATTTTACTATTATAAATCTAATAATCATATATATTTCTAATGTGTTTGGTCATTTTGTATTTCAATTTGAAAACCAAAAAATACTCTTTTCGCTTTTTTTGTTTTGAGGTCGATTATAGTTAAATTATAGTTTTTTTAAATAAAATATAGAAGGAGTCAAATAAAGATATTATTATATTTAACAATAATTTACAGTATAAACAAAGTTAATTTTTAATTGTAAAATTATTAAAAAAAAGTGCTATAAAACAAAATAAGTTTGTTATTCAATTAATTTGGTAAAATCTTAATGGTTTTTAACATAAATTTAAGATAATTATAGTGTTTTTTATATAACTTATTTCAAACACCCTCACATAGAGTTTTTATAAGAACTTTCTATAAAATACAAAAAAATAATTTCAATTTTAATTATATTTTAAATTATAATTCTTGTATAATGAATGGTGTTAATAACATTTTCAAACATATTTGTACATGTTATTGTTCAGTGTCATAACAGTTCCTCTTTAAAAAATGAATAAATTTTTTTGTCACATTTTAAGATACAGTAACATATTGAATAATAACATTTAACTTGGATTTATACATTTTCAAACAAAAAAGTCAATACCTTATATTCAAATATCAACAAAAATTGGGTGAATTAATTAAATATTCGCATTATCATCATTAAAATGCTTTAAATAGAACAAAAAATAAATTCACATTAAAAATTACAAAAAGAAAATTACACGTTATGCGTGATAGTAATTGGGTATTGTGCTGGTGTAGGTGTGTTACTTCTATTTCTTTTTGGTCTTCTATCGTCATCAGGTTTTGGGAACACAAAAGATAAGTGGAATGCCTTTAACCTGTTAATATCTTTTTGTGTAGTTTTAACAGGCGGACTAATTTCCAGTATTTTTACAGTTTCAGGCAATACATCAAAGTCGATTTCCTTACAACTTCTGAAGTAAATATTTTCGAGTTGTGCATTGATGAGATGTGTGACTGAAGACGACATCGCGTAAAGTGTTTTGGTCGCTTTGTTCAGTGATATTATGATGTTCGAGCAATTGCAGACACCGACTTTTTCAAGTGCTTTAAATCTCGACAAGTCACAGACGTACTCCCGTGGTGCGCTTTTAATAGTGATGTATTTAACACACAATGGAAGTGATCGAAGCATCGAGACGTCATCCGTCGAAATCATTTCAACATTTTGAATATTTTCAATATCAAAAGGCATTTTATCATCATTTCTATTCATAAAAGACGACGAAATAAGACGAAGAGCAGTGACTGTTTTTGGGACAAAGTGTGACTTCCATTGAGTGTTTTGTATAACAAGTGTTTTAACATGTGCCATTGTTTTATCAGTGAGTGACACTTCACATGATGTGAAAGTTGCTTTAACAAGCATATTCAACTTAGATAAGTCGATATTAACTTCACAAGACACAAAATTAATAACTCTCAAAAAATTGAGTGTTTTCACCTCTTCAAGTTTGTGTTGTTTCTCAATAACAAGGGAGACTATATTGCACACTTCTTCTTGTTTCCATAACTCACAACTTCTCAAAGAAGCCGAATAGACTGATTGTGGTAATTTAAATGTTTCAATACAATTAGAGAGTGTAACTACATTTACATGTTGAAGTGTATTATACATTGCACATCCACAATACACTTCAAGTGAAGGTGGTAATATGCAGTCGACTGATGGATTATTTTCTTGACTGAATTCAACTATTTGTGTGTATTTTGATATATCAAAGTGCTTTTCTGTAGTGAACGCAGAGAGGGTGACGGATGTTGGATAGTACAATTGCATAGCTACATCTAATGATACTGTTTGTGGTCCAACAGTAAATTCAGACGCTTTCTCGACTATTATATCTTCATTGCACCACTCGTCGCTACTAAATATGACACGTGGAGAAATCACAAAACTTTTTTCTTTACACTTTAGAAAGAACTCTGTAATAAGTGTAGTTGGTGCACTCACTACTAAGCGCTCTATATTAAACTTATCAAAAGAGGTGATCATATCATCACAAATGCCACACATCTTACTGAGAGATACAAAGGAATATCTATGTTGTGTGTTTTTGAAGAATTCAGTGTATTGTGTTGTTCTGTATATCGACTTCATTGTGACACGGCGAAGGTTTTTAAATGGACTTAAATTGATTGTTATATTCGATTTTATTAATATTTTTATATCACAAAGTCGATCATTAAGTTGTTGTAATAAATAGGGACTTTCAACACTATGTCGAGTAAGTCGAATGTAGTCGTATTTCATTGCAATGTCACGACGTTGTAATAACGTCTCATCATCTGCTTGAAGTGTCACAACACCACTAAACAAAAGAAGTTCTCTTTCTAATTCAACGACTTTGGAAAATGTTGTGTCCATCTCAGTAATGAAGTCGTGGAATTTGGATGAATGAAGTTGTGGACGGTAATTCGGGTTTGTTCGGATCATAAGAATTGCAATTTTACAGGAACGGCTGACATAGAGAAGACGCTGTGCTGTTTTTAATGAGTTTAAATAGGGTATTACAACTGCTATGTAAAAAGCATCAAGTTTTTCAACCATCGATAAATACTTAATTAATTAGTTTTAGTTTCATTCATTTTGTGTTGAAAATAAATTGGATTTTAATAAATCGATTAAAAAAACGAGTTTTTTTAACACTTAAAAAACATTATTTATTTCTTTAAAAAACGTTTTTAAAAAATATATGTTTTTAAATATAATTTCACTTATTCAAAAAAGAGGGAAAATGTGTATTGTAAAACACACGAAAAACCTGATAAACTACCAATTATTTAAGTTAAAAAATCAAAAAACATAACTATCGTCAAGTAGTATCACATATAAACAATCTCTCATTATAAACAAACCGGAGAACAGTCGCTTTAAAAATACAGTTTGACTCGTCGTTGTTTTATTCAATTTCTAACACAAAAACACCATTTTTTCCTTTCCAAAGTCGCAATTAAAAAATGCAAACTTTGTTTTGATAATGTTGAAGATATTACTCACAAAGCTCACGATTTTGTCGCGAACACATACAAAAGTACAAGAAAAAGTCTAACAAAATTTGTGTTTGTTTCATTCTCCTTATTTCTTCGTATTATTAAATTAACTAATTTGTGTGATAAACGCGTCGTCTATATTGACTGCGACCCCAGAAATACATCACAACACAGTGTTTTTTACATCCTGCGAGTCCACATTAGGCAAAAGTATTTCAGAGCAAAGCGACAACGCTTTTTTCCCATTGACTGCCAAATTTATTTTTTATTTTTAATCAGTTACTTATTATTAGTTTGATTTTTAGTTTAAAAACTAATAGATACTTTTAAATTATTTAACAAATGAAAAACTTTAACAAAGTATCTGTTATAAATACTCAACATCACCATAAAATAGTATCCACATATGGGTGGAAAACTGATTTTTAACTTAAGTTTACATTTTCTAAAATTTGATTTCTTTCATTGACTGTTTTTAGTACAAACTACAATGTAATTTACTGATTTTGGTGAAACACGTTGAGTTTAATAATTGGTGTTAAAAAGTCTGTTTAATGATTTTGGTAAATAAAAAAGAACGAATCGGTTTTAAATAAGATATAGTGAATAATTAATGACAAATCATTTTCACATAAAACTTGTTTTTTAGTTATTATTGTATTTTTCAAAACTTGGTTAGTGATAGGTTATTTTGATAATTTAATAATATACAGTATATATTCGATGATAGTCCAGTCTATGTTCCAGTCTTATTCAATAATGTCAAATAATATAAACTTGAATAATTAACAAAAAATACCACATTTTGTTTTTTGTCTCAACAAAATTCCAAATTATATTTTCACCCAAAAAATTTTTTTGCCATTTTTTATAAAACTTTTGTAATTTATAATATAAAAAACAAATGCTTTATTTTACTAGTGTTTATTAAAACACAAAACGTCCGTTATAGAATCAAAATATTGACAGACAACATAAACAGCATTCAAACCGAACACATGAAGAGCAATATGATAACTCTTGGTTTTCAAAATAAACATTTATTATTTTATAATAATTTAACGCTCCAACGACACGTTAATTAACAGTGTTTGGGTTTTAGATGAAAAACTCATTTGCTTTTAAAATAATTTTAAAAATAATTTTATTTTTTTTAACGTAATGACAATTTGGTTTATGTATTACCATATTAAGGTTTTGGACAAAAAAATATAAAAAATAGCAAAAAAATAAATTGTTGTTTTTTGATTTTTTTTGATATTCGATAAGAGACCTCCCTCTTATATTATGGTCTCTTATCGAATAAATCCTTATATCGAATAGCCCTCTTTTCGAATGTTGACTGTATTTAACATTGGTGTGATTATCAAAATTTAAATTTATTAATTTCTTGTTCAAAATAAGTCTCTTTTATTTTATACAAATAATATAATTTTTTATTTATTTATTTTTTCCTTTTTTTAAAATCTTTTTATTGTTTACAAAAATCTTTATTGATTATAGTAAAATATATTAATTTAAACCAAAAATATAATTATAATTGTTAAATTAAAATCTTTTTATTTTTTCTTATTGAATGGATAAAAAGTTTGGAATTTTCCAAAGTCTATTTTAATTATATCAGAAAAAAGGTTTTGTTTATAAATCATATTACTTATTAATATTTATATAATTATAGAAAATGTTATTTTACTTACCGATATCTTTATTTGGATATGAATTATTCTTAAATAAAAAACACAAAATAAGAAATAAAACATGTTATACTTTGGGTAATCTGCCCAATGTTTTTTGTTTCAATTTAATTTTTTTAAAAGTTTAGAATTTTTTTGGGTTTTTTTCTGGTTTATCGGAAATATATCAATCAAAAATGATAATAATATAAACTAATATAAATAACACATATATTATTTGATGCCGATATAATATTTTTCCAATTTGGCAAAAGGATTAAACATTCAAAATTAGAAAACTCCTCTTATTCACACATAAAGTGTGGATTGGAATTATTATCAAGACCCGATATTTAATATTTAAATACTGGCTTATAAGAATAATTTAATGCAAATAAAAGGCGATAAAATAAGAAAATATTTAAAAGCTATTTTTAATTAATTATAATGAAACAACACCACTAAGAACTCAAAAGATTTGTGTTTTTAAAATTAAAAAATAATCAAACAAAAACTCCATTAACTAGAAAAAGACAATGCTCTTGTTAGTGTTGTTGGTAACAACATTTGGCATGTGGTGCAACGATAAAGGTATTGTAAAATGCTTTGAAAATAACACACAATGTAACACTACCAATTTAAATGAAGAAGATGGTATTCTTTATATACAAAATTTAGAAGAAGTACACATTGAATGTCAACAACAAGAAGATCTTTTTGTGGCAGTTAAAGAGTGTCTTCACGTGTTGTCTGTCTTATTAAAAAATTATAAAAACGAGGTGTTGAATTACTATAATGGGATCTATCACTTCCAAAGGAATACTTTTGAATTTACTCCAACTCTTAAAACAACAAAATCCAACACGACTCTTAAAAGTGCAACACCAGACACACTTCAATGCAATGGATATAACCAATACTATTGTTCAAGTTGTGTTACTGGAAGATCGGACTGTTCTCAATGCATCTTGGGTTACTTTTTAACTCAATGTGGAGATTGGCCGGTGACTTGTAGAAAAGTACGTGACAACTCAACTTGTAGTTTTGTGTGTGGGAAAAAACAGTGGTACTATTTGGACGATAAACTTACTTGTATGCCACAAAATTGCCAAACCATAAAATCTCAAAGTGGCATTCTTGTTTGTGGAAAATGTAAAGCTGGGTTTTCTCAAAAAAACAACTTGTGTTACCCACCACTAAACAACTGTGGATCTTCCGATGATGGTGAATGTGAACAATGCAACTCGGGCTATCATATTGTCTACGATTATTGTAATCCAAACAAAGATGGATGTGTCAGTTATAACTATGGTACAAAAAAATGTGATACATGTAAAGCTGGGTATTATAAGGAAAATGATGGGTGTACATCATGTAACATGATAGAGTATTGTAATACATGTAATTTAAAAACCCGATGCACAGAGTGTTACGATGGCTTTGCTCTTAGTAAATTTACAACAACAAACACAACCTGTAAACGATGTCCAGACAATTGTAACACGTGTGCTTTTAACATAAATACGAAGAAAACTGACTGCACTCAATGTAAAGAGAATTACTATGTTAGTAACAAGTTATGTAATATTTGTGATCAAACTTGTGGGGGAAGTTGTGCGGACAATACTGGTATTTGCAAGACATGTTCAAGTGGTTTGATATTTAAAAATCCACTATCAACAATATGTGAACCCTGTCGCAATTATGATCCCAATTGTGAACAGTGCTCTGGGGTTGAAAGGGCGTGTTTCAAGTGTGATTTGGGGTATTACCCAATCAATGGAAAATGTACTCCATGCCATGAAACGTGTGTATTAGGAAAGTGTGATCCCAAAAATGGTGCCTGTTCAGAGTGTAAACCTGATTACACAGTCATCACAATTACAAGTCCATCTTGTCAGAGCTGCACTGAAGCATTTTCTGGGTGTCAGAAGTGCTCACAAACACTTAGAAAATGTGAGACCTGTCAAAATGGTCAATATCCAGATACTTCGAATGGATATGTTTGTGTAAATTGTGCTTCGACATGTCCAAATTGTAATAGTTCAAATGGGAATTGTATAACATGTTTAGACAATTACGTTTTCAAATCTTCAGATACAAAGACATGTGAAATATGCAGTTCATTTGATAGTAACTGTGTTGCATGTGCGTCTAATTATTCGAGGATTTGTATACAATGCAAAAACAGTGAATATTACATAAGTACAACTGGGAAATGCGTTCAATGTGAAGCAACATGTGCAAGACAGTGTGATGGTCCGGATGGGATATGTACAACTTGTTCAAGTGGAAACGTCTTCAACGAACCCAAAGAAAATAAGTGCATTGCATGTTCTACATTTGATTCAAATTGTTTAACGTGTGCTTCTGGAGGTGTCAGAGAGTGTGTTAAATGTAATACAAACTACTATCCTTCAACCTACACATTGAAATGTATTCAATGCAATTCCACGTGTAGTCAATGTGATCAAACAACAGGTCGTTGTACAACATGTGATGCATCAAAAGTATTCACATCTCCTCAATCAGAAGTGTGTGAAAGTTGTCAGACTTTTGATCCAAATTGTAAAGAATGTGTTGCAGGAGGTGAACGGAAGTGTTCGACATGTAACGTAAATTATTACCCAGATAAGACGAGTGGAATGTGTGTATTATGTGATAATACATGTGTTGAAGGTGGATGTGATCCATCGAGTGGTATTTGTAATACTTGCAAAGAGAATTATGTGTTTAAAAACCCAAAACAAATAGAGTGTGAATCGTGCACTTCTTTTGAACAACATTGCTCCACGTGCTCACCCGATTTTAGTAGAAAATGTGTGATTTGTAGTGCGGGTTATTACGTAGATACTTCGAATAATAAATGTAAACAATGCGATTCAACATGTGGTGGAAAATGTGATGGAGTCAGTGGATATTGCACGGGTTGTTCAACTGGGTATGTACCAACGGAACCGACATCTTTGATATGTGAAAGTTGCACAAGTTTTGATATCAAATGTTCGATATGTTTAAGTGGTTTTGAAAGGAAGTGTTTCACGTGTAAAACAGGCAAATACCCAGATGAAATTACATATAAATGCAAAGACTGTGATGAAACGTGTGGTACTTTATGTGATGTGTCAAATGGTTTGTGCAAACAATGCAAAACAAATTATGTCGTCACAGAACCGATTTCTAAAGTATGTATATCATGTAGATCTTTTGATTCACATTGTACAACATGTGCATCAGATTTTACTCGAAAATGTGTAACATGTGATAATAATTATTATCCGGATGCATCAGGAAGATGTGTTCCATGTTCTTTGGGGTGTTCCACGTGTAATTCTCAAAACGGGACGTGTCAAATTTGTGTTCCAAATCACATTTTTGATACAACGGATCATACAAATTGCAGTGAATGTTCAACACTTTCAAAATGTGTGACATGTCCAATTGATTTCTCAAGAAAGTGTATTGCTTGTCAAAGTAACATGTATCCAATAGATGGAGTGTGTGCCAATTGTCACACCACATGTGGAGGAACGTGTAATACAGAAAATGGCGAGTGCACTGGATGCCAAAATGGGTTTGTATTTTCAGATACAAATCCATTGGAATGTGTTGCGTGTCAAACCTTTGACCCGAAGTGTACCACCTGCTCAGAGGACTTTACAAGGACGTGTAAAGTCTGTAATGTGAATAATTATCCACAACCAAATGGGATGTGTGGGGAATGTGATACTTCATGTGGCGGACAATGTGATACATCAATTGGTATTTGTACTGGGTGTTCTCCCAATTTTGTATTCAATGAAGTGAAGGGATTGACATGTCAAAATTGCACCTTATTTGACCCGAATTGTAAGACGTGTAACACTAATTATGAAAGACGCTGTACTGAATGTCAAAGTGGGTATTATTTAGTTGGCGACAAATGTGTACAATGTCATTCAACTTGTGGAGGTAAATGTGATCCAACTAATGGGCGTTGCACTGGGTGCATATCAAATAACGTGTTTTCTGATGATCAAATGACGTGTATACCATGTAACCAATTTAATAGTGATTGTACAACATGTGCCTCCAATGGAAGTCGACTATGTGAAACGTGTACAAACAAGAAGTATGCATCAAATGGAAATTGTGTAGATTGTTTGGCATCCTGTAAAGATTCGAACTGTGATGGGTCGACTGGAATTTGTGTGACGTGTGCAAACAACTATGTGAATGTGGAAAGCAACAACGGGAGTTGCCAAAAGTGTTCTGAATTTGATTCAAATTGTAAGTTGTGTGCAAGTAATGCGGACAGGAAGTGTGTTGAGTGCCAAGCCACCTATTACCCCAAAACAGTTAGTGATTATCGATGTCAATTGTGTGATGAGACATGTGGAGGACTATGTGATACACGGAATGGGTATTGTATTGGATGTTTATCGAATCATGTCCTTTACGAGACAGAAACATTGACATGTCAGAGCTGCACTGATTTTGATGCACATTGCACTCAATGCTCATCACAATTTAAAAGAGAATGCATGACATGTAATACTGGATATTACCCGGACCCAAGTACTCATCGATGTATACCTTGTCATGGTACATGTGCAACTGATATGTGTGACACGACAACTGGAATTTGTAAACAATGTATTGATAATTACGTGTTCAGAGAGATTAAAAGTGTTGATTGCGTTCAATGTGACTCTTTCGCGCCGTGGTGTAAGACATGTGCGTCCAATTCTTCGAGAATATGTGTGGAGTGCAAACCCAGTTATTACACAAATCCATCAACACAGAGATGTCAAAAATGTGACACAACATGTGGAAATAATTGCAATGGGGTTACTGGATACTGCATTGGGTGTTTAAATAACTTTGTATTGATCAGTGAGACTTCTTTGACATGTCAGAATTGCTCTTTATTTGATCCAAAATGTGTGACATGTTCAAAGACGTTCCAAAGAGAATGTGTCACGTGTACCACTGGCTATTACCCAAACGAAAACACCAAAATCTGCAAGAGTTGTGGCTCCAATTGTAATTCTCTGTGTAACACGGAAAGTGGCGTGTGTTATGGATGTCTTACAAATCACGTTTTTGAAAATGCGACACAGATGAATTGCATTCCGTGTAAAACGTTTGACATTCATTGTTTGACATGTTATGAAGACTATTCGCAGAAGTGTAAAATATGTGATGTTGGGTTTTACCCCAATGAACAATTTCGATGTGTACCATGTTCAACAATACAAATCAATTGTAATTCGTGTAATCAAACACAAAAGGAGTGTTTGCGGTGTAAAGATCCGTATTATTTGAGTTCACCATTGGAATGTAATAGTTGCCCGACTGGATTTTTCAAGTCGAGTGAAAGTGGGTGTGGCGATTGTAATGAGAAAATCACCAATTGCAAACAGTGTGGAACTGTCAGTGTTGGCAACGCAAGGTGCTCTTTTTGTTATTCTCCGTATGTGCCAAATGTTGCAGGAAATTGCATCCTATGCAGTGATAGGACTTTTTATACATATACAAAAGAACTAACGAGAGAGGTTGGGAGCTGTCAGGCTAATACAATACAAAACTGTGTAAAACAAATGAACTCAACGACATGTGTTTTATGTGAACACCCGGCTTTCCTTTCGGAAGGAAATTGTGTCACAACGAAGAACTGTTTGAGTCCGTCGACAGTGGTACAAACGTCATGTGACTGTTCGGAACAGATTTCAATTAATTCTGATTGTGTTGCAGTGGGGAGTGGCTGTAAATATCAAAATTCGACGAAAGGGAAGAACTACTGCGTTCAATGTAATAACAATTATCGAATGAATACACAGAAAGAGTGTGTTAAAAGTAATGAATTAACTGTTTTAAATGATGTGAATTATCAATGTAGAGATGGTCAATATTTAGATCGTAATAATATGTGTCAAGACTGTGACGCGACTTCAAGTATATGTTTACAAGGAAAAGAAAAGGTGGAGGCTTTAAAGTGTTCTTCTCGATATGTATTAAATACTGAAAGAAACGAATGTGCTTCGGACTCAGCTTGTGCGAGTGTATCAACTGATTTTTGTGAGAGATGTCAAGAAGAATCGTATGAGTTAAATGAAGGGAAGTGTGTGAAGTGTTCGACATTAAACTGTAAGTATTGTGTTGGGAACAAGTGTTTGAAGTGTGTTGAAAACACATTATTGTATGAGGACAATCGCTGTATATCAAAAGAAGAGGTGAATTGTGTCAAATCGAATTCATTTGGATGTGTGCAGTGTAAAGATCAGTTCTACACCTTTGCAGAGAAAAACAAAGAAAACAAGTTTGACTATTGTCTTCCCATTTCAACGACTTTATTCAGCAATTGTAAACGAATTCGTTTTACTACAACACCAGAAGACGGCAAATGTATTGAGTGCTTAGAGTCATACAAATTAAAGGAAGGGAAGTGTGCTGAATTTTATGAAGAAAAAGATGAGAATTTGACATTAAAAATGATGTCAGAAATGCATTTTATTCAAGATAATACAAATAATAAATATGACCCAATGAAAGGAATAGAAATGCAAGAAGTGAACACCACTTCTGAAATCAAATGTGAGAGTCGAACGAACAAAGGGTGTCAACGATGTTCTGATGGGTATTACTATAATAACTTAACTTCTGAGTGTAACAAATGTGATGATTTATGTGAAACGTGTTATAATACGACATACTGCTTATCATGCACATCAACTTCTTTCCTCGATTCTACAATGGTCTGTAAATCACTTGGTAATTTAATTTCGACTTGTCAAACTCCTCTTCCGACGGGAGGTGGATGTGCAATATGTAAAGATGAATATTTTAAAGTAGAAAAGGATTGTTTGAAATGTGACATGTCTTGTGCGAAATGCAGTTCTATTGAGTCGTGTTTGGAGTGTGCGGATGGGTATTTCAAATTTAGTGGAGATTCGAAGGGATTGTGTCGACATAATACAACTCTTTTAAATTGTTCCAAAGTTGTGTTTGATGGGTGTGACACATGTGATGATGGATATTTTGTGACAGTGGATAAGCACTGTCAGAAATGCCCAGAAAACTGTCAGTTGTGTGAGTCCCAAGAAACGTGCACATTGTGTTTACCCACCGACTATGTTCTTGTCAACTCTATGTGCCAGTTTTATTCTTCAGTTGAAAATTGTGAAGAGGCGAAAGATTCTAAATGTACTCGATGTAAAGGGTCACATGAACCTTCCACAGAAGGTGATTTGTGTGTCCACGTCGTTAATTTAGGTGTTGCCATTGGCGTTCCTCTTTCGCTGATATTTATTATATTAGTAGTGATTGCCACGATCATAATAGTAGTTTATTTATTGATGATGAAAAAGAAGGAGAAAGTGCAATTACAGAACATCTGTGTCTTTGAGATGTCCCGTTCTAATATCCCGATGAGTTCATTAAATAAAGTGATGTGCAGCAATAAAAATGTCATTCATTTTGATTTAGAAGACGACGGACCGATTCCAGTTGATGCAGAAAGTCGGGATTTGATATGTATTGGGAACACATCAAAACATAATATGAAGGTGCAATTTAGTGTATTAGATGGGTGTGACTATTACGAAATTCGAACAGTGCCTTCCCTTATTTCATTAAAGAAAGGAGAAGCGTGTGAGTTTGAGATATTTATCAAGCCATTGTGTTCGTGTGAGTTTGAAGAATATATAATGGTGATTGGACTTGATATTAAGACTGGAGTGCAATATAATGAAAAGATTCGAATAGAGAAAAAGACTGAGAATTCGACGAAATTGAATTACAGAGAAATTGAAGAACACAAGAAAATAGGAGAAGGATCTTTTGGAGTTGTTTTTAAAGGCGTTTTTCGAGGGAAAACTGTTGCGATTAAAAAGATGAAAATATCGAATACGACGAAACAGCAAATTGACGAGTTTGAGAAGGAAGTGTCGATGTTAGATAAGTTCAGGAATGACTATATTATTCACTTCTATGGTGCTTGCTTTATCCCTAGTCATATTGAGATGGTGACCGAATTTGCACAATATGGGAGTTTAGCGGATATGGTGTTAGAAGGGAAGAAAGAGAGTTCAGAGGTGTCACTGAAGATCAAAATTAAGATGATGACGGACGCTGCGAAGGGGATTCAATATTTACATGAGAATGGGATCTTACACAGAGATATTAAACCGGACAATTTACTTGTTATTTCGTTGGAAGAGAATGTGAAGGCAAATGCAAAATTGACTGATTTTGGATCAAGTCGAAATATTAATATGCTGATGACTAATATGACCTTCACGAAAGGAGTTGGAACACCAAAGTATATGGCTCCAGAGGTATTAAATAAGGAGAAGTACAAAACATCAAGTGACGTCTTCTCATTGGCAATTACTATGTATGAGACACTCATTTGGGGAGAAGCTTACCCGAAGAAAGAATTCAAATACGCGTGGGCGATAGCAGATTTTATTACAAGCGGGAAAAGAAGAGAACGAACGGAACAGATCAGAGAGGAGGAATACCAAATTCTTAGCAAAATGTGGAAACAAAAACAAGAGGAAAGACCGACTATAGATAATGTCATACAAAGTCTTGAAGATGTAATTCAAAAACTCTGAAAAGGTGTTTATTATCAATAATAAAATGTTTTTAATATTAATTATTTATTATTAAATTAATTATTTAATAATTATAATATTAATATTAATATTTTTACTATTATTATTGTTATACAAATTTCAATAGAAAAATGAAAATATTAAAAAATCAAATAATTTACAATTTTATATAAAAAACAGGTATAGATTATATATATAGAGTTGTACGTATATTCTGTTGTTATTTAAACAATAATGCATTCTTTCCAAACAGAAATATAATTATTATTTATAGTTATTATTAATATTTTTGTACCATGATTATAAATCGATTTCCATTAATCGTTTCTTCACCAAATTGTTTTTAAAATGAGTTATTTGATACAAAAAACTTTTTATTTCAAATTGTTAAATGAGAAAAAACATAATCAGATGCTTTTGAATATCTATAATGAATTTTGGAATAGAAATTGAAATGTATCATCAAATTGCGATTTAACTTTGAACATCAATATAAATACATTTTATTGCTTCATATTCTACAATTAAAAAATCCCAAACATTTTGTTAAGAATAACAATCAATTATCCAAATAATAACCAAACACGTAAGGAGAATATTTTTTAAATGTATACATTAAACCCTAATTACAAAAAAGTTTGTATTCACATTGATTATAATACAATTTATTAATTTAATTGGTGTATTTGAATAATTGATAAAATTTGAAGTATGTTTTTAAAAAAGCTAAAGTGAAGATATCAATCAAATAATTTGTTTGATTATAACCATTTTGGAGATAAATTCTCGAAAGTTAATTTTTCAAAAATTGAGTACTACTCGTTTTTTAAAACGAAAAGTATGTTTGAAATTTTGAACTCAATACAACGAAGAGATTTTTTATCAGAACAAATACAAAATGTAAGTCTTTATTACAAAATCATTCAAATCAAACAATAATAAATAAAATGTCATTGGTAAGTTTTGTTTAAATCTCAAATATAATTTTGTATAAATAATCTCTCATCAATAAATCTAATAACGCCAGATTTTGATTTTATTGTTTAATTATTTGTGCTTCTACTACAAATATAATTATTATATTTTTATTTTAATTAAAATAATTTAAAACAAAACTGTAACACTCGATGTTTTATTAAAAGTTAAAAAATTTTGAGTCTTTTTAACTTTGAAAAAAAAACACTATTCTATTGAGAGTTTCTTTTTGGTTTTTATCTTAAAAATATAATATTAGAACAAATTAAAATGTTTATTATTTAACTTTCATTTGTCTTTTTCACCTTCTACACACTGTGGAGAACAACAAAGCCATCCCAAAATGTAATTTAATTTTTCTATTATAATTGCAATTAAAATAATTTGAATTGTTTATTACCGTTTCTTGTTTTATTTTGGGGGTTTCTTCTCTTTATTTGTATAAAAATAAAGAAGGATTTTAAGGCTTTTATTCAACGACCAGTTCATTTGATTTACATACCAGCCTCCCTCAACGTCAAAACAACTATATTTCAACAAAACGGTAACAAAATTAAACACATAATTAATTAATACTTGATATTCGTTTGTCATTCGCATGGTTTATAAATACGTGTTTTCCGATTAGTGCGAAAATTCTTCCCAAAAACACATTGAAAAGAAAAAAATATTAATATTTTAATTATATCGCTAATTGTTTTTAATATAGTAATTTTTAATATGTGTTTTCGAGATATTTGCAGTTATATAAAACCCCCAAAGCCATGAGCATTATAATAAGTGGACTTTGAAAGATTGTTTTTAAAGCAAATAATCCTTATTATATTAAGATTTTGGCAAATTTCTGCTCATAGTCAAATTAACGTTAAGTACAACCAATATGAAACGTATAAATTGTTTTTGGTATTAATAATTGTATTTTGCCAAGTATATATAGTGGAAATTGACGCAACATACTGTTGAGAATATTCCAATAGAATTAATTTCATGCATTTTAATAAAAAGAAAGTTAAATTATTCAGAGTAATATGAAATTGTTGTTTTGATGTTCCAAAAAGGCTGTTCACCGACCTTCACGTATTTCTACTATTAATATTATAAAAATGATATAAATTATTATAAATTATAACACATCTGTCTAAATTTTAAGTTATGCGCCTTGTATTTCATTTATATTCTCATTTGAACAAGAAGACGGGCTTTTTATAAACTATGTATATTATTTTTTAACGCTCATTTGTCACCAAATCAAATTTCGGCAATGATGAGTGTAAATATCATTGTCGAAAAGAAGAAAAACCAAACAACACTTTTAAACCCAACCAAAAGTGTTCCTGTTAATTTACATAGCAAAAACAATGTATTATTCCATCTAAAACGACTGTTGTGTCAGGTAACCACCGTATTCAAGAACAGCTTTTGTGTTTTTTATTTTTTAAATCGCTTTGAATTTGCGCAAATCTCCTCAACAAAATGTTTTTGGGATTCTTGTGTTATTCACAACAGTAGTTCTATTTTTGGCGATTACTACCCTTTTAACTCCTTTTTTGAATCAAACTACTGGCTTATAACAAAACGCAGCGAATTCCCGATTTGTTACAACAGTTACCCGCAACTCCAAAATTATTGTTAACAAAATCTGAAATGCACGAAAATATTTTGTTCGGCTTTTTTTAGTCCACATTTGTCCATTTTTCGGGAATTTTTCCTATCAGATTTGTTCTTTTCGCTTGTTTCAGTGCGAGAATTTGAGTTCTGAATTTGGGTTTTTTACACTAAAAAGTTCATCAAAAGACACGTTTTAAATTAAACAAATATCACTAAATATGTTTGGGATACTCTCCCAATGTTTCTTTTATTTGGCATATTGAGCTTCATTTCCCCACTCCCATTTCTTCAGTTGTTTTTCTTTTATTACTAAAAACACCATTGAGCCTTCTGCTTTTTTAATATTAGTTTATTTATTAATAATTTAGCTATATTTTAATTAAAGAATGAATTCAACAACAATACAAGTAGTATTGTTAAAAGAACTATATAAATATAGTATGTTAATTATAAAATAAACAAAACGATGACCACTTCCGAATCATGAGTGAATTCCAATTCAATTCCCAAAACAAAAAGGCGTTGCTCGAAAACACCTCATGAGTTCAAAAATAGTCCTGACGCATACCCGCCCGTCATGTGTCTTTTATTTCCATCAAATTTGGAATAATAAAAAAGGTTTTGGCTTTTGAAAGCGACGAAACGAAATCTGTTTGAAAGACTTGGGGTGGTAGAAAATGTCTATTTAAAAGGGGAACTGAAGACTAGAAACCGAAAATGATGAGTAGCAGTTCTTCACGATTAACGCCGGAGAAGCCGAGGATAGAGTCTGATTTTCGAAATGTGCGGAACTATCAAGTCTATCAGCAAGCCGTGTGTATTGCCCTGTTAAATTCGTATTTTGAAGTCTCGATCATTCAACCCTTAAAAAAGGCGCACGTCTTCGAGCAGATCATAAGAATAGAAAAACTCCAGAAGGGGGAGGACGTCATCTTCGTAGAGGAGTTTTGCAAGAAGAGGTGCAGAGATCGGTTTTTGATCGACACCAAAAACAACATCCCCGAAAAGACGGCGAAGAGGAGAACTGAAGCAAACAAGGTGAATGAGATGCAACTGCTCTTAATGGACTTGTTGGGAGTCTTCGGATTCTTTTTTGAGACTAAAAGAGTACATGGGAAAAAGACGACGGTCAAAGGCGAATTTGTTCAAAGAATTCTCTTCAACGGGAAAGTCTTTTTGGACAAAAACAATATCTACGAAATCGGAAAGAATATAAATAGAAAAATTAACGTGAAATTGGGGAATGGCGAAAAGTGCACGTTGCCCGTTGGATTCTTGGAATTTTAGTAATTTGTGTCTTTTGTTATTTGTTGAAGGTTTATAGTTTCTTATGTGTAATAACATTATAATATTCAAATAATTCATTTTATTTGTTTTTTAACATGAAATTGTTGCGTATTATTGGAAATCATAGAAATCATTCAAATTGATAGAACAAGTGTTTGTTATACAATAGGTACGAATTGATTGTTAAAGACTTTTTATCTATTTTTATTGGTTGAATTTTTTAATATTGTAACTATGTGATATTCAAAACTTACTCTTTATTTTACACATTTTTAACGACTTGTTTTTTACATTGTCTATTTTATTTGGTAGTCGAACTACTTTTATAAAAAATACAAATGATTTGCGTTGTTAAGAATTGTGTTGTTATTGACTTTTTTTATTATAAAATAATAGATGTTAAGTGTTACATGTTTTCTAAATATAAAAAAAGACACATTAACAAGTTAAAATGTATCTTTAATAAGAAGATTTTATTATAATAAGAAAATGTCTTTTGTATCATTGTTGTATTGTATTCAAATTTTTAATTGTTTAAGTGGCATAAACATATTACAATTAAATTGAAAATATTAAGTTAAAAATTGATACGATAAATCTAAAAATTTAACCATTTTAAGCTAAAATGAAATATTACTATATATATATATTTGAATTGTGTAATCACAGACACTTTACTTGCTAAATACACATTCCAAAAATTTTTATTGTTAGTCTTTATTTGTTTTGAATAACAGGCACATTTTTTTAAAAAAAATAGTAATCAAGTCGTCCAAAAACGTTATTTATTCTGTCAACCGTATTTGTTTTTTGAAATTGTTTTTAGATGAAAATGTTCCCAACTTACGGGAAAAAGATAAGTAAAAAACAATATTATTAATATAACTATTCTAAAACTAAATAACAAATAACACAACCAATAACATAAATAAGGTTAAGACTATTCGACCAATCATTTCCAAACATCTCAAAGTAAATAAATAAATACAATTGATTTGGTGTCAAATTTGAACAAAATTACAAGAAATTGGTGCGAACCAATTTTATTGTAATCATTTGCTTGAAAAATAATGTTTTTAAACACTTAAACTTTTCAACATTTTATTTACACTCGGCCAAAACCATTTCATAAAACAACTTTTAATCGACCACAGAACGTCATTTCGATATTAGAGTCATATAATATTGTTGTACTCATTGTTTATGATTTATTATACTTGTCAATTTTTTTCAAAAAAATTCAAGTTGTTTGTTGTTGAATTTTTATGTTAAATTTATCACTTTGAACAATAAAAGTTTTTTACCCAACTGTTGTTTGTAACAACATTTTTTTCTTTGTTTATACTATTTCTGTGCATAATAAAAATTAAACTAATCGATCTGTCTCTGTTCGTTTTAACTGGAAAAACAAAGATTTAATATAATAAATTATTAATTAAAAAACAAACCAAATTAATATTTTTTATAAAGTTT